TAAAATTAAGTAGGAGAATTAACTTCTGGAATCCTAAGTTTAAAAAAGTCTTCCAATTTTAATTGTCATATCATATGAAATAATGGCCCTTGTCTCAGTAATATATATGTATATGTGTGTGTATGTGTGTGCACATGTGCTTCCATTATGTAAATTAAGTGATAAAATAGATAAAAATGTACACTGTAATTTTTAAAACGTTTTGCAATTTAATTATATCTAACGTTAAATGTAATGTAGACCCTTCTATGATCTACGAATTTCTTTTGCACATACTTCATAGAGCAAAGGCCACAAGTGAACCTATTCACATACTCTTATCTCCAGCACCAATATTTTTAAGTGATTTTCATGTAACTATAAACTTGGCTGTCTTATTAATAATAAAATTTTGATGGGGTATTTAAATTCAACTAATTCACTCATTCATTTAACAGTCATTGATCTAGTTATGGTCACTGGCTTGAACAAGTAGTGTTACAAAAACAAATCAAAACTCTTTCATACTTAGAGACCCTCATAGTGTAGAGGACACAGGGATTTAGAACAGACAAACATGCATGCAAAAATGCCATGTCAAGAGGAAATCAAAAGAAGCAACTCATCTGCAACAGATATTACAGAGAAATTTAGCAGGAATTTTAAACAGTAATGAGCACAGGATGATCCCAGTCAAAATAAGTTTGTGCAAAGCATTGTTATGCTTTAGGAATACACAATATTTAATTGTCGTGAGGCCTGGATATACTGAGAACAACATTAAGAAGGAACCTTAGGAAAGGAATCTCATACTGACTTGTGACGAGCCTTTGCTGAAATACCAGCATACCTACCCAATTATAGGTTTTAAACATCATTTGGTAAGATGGACATCTATAGCAAACCCCAATTGGATTTTATATTAATTAAGGATCATTCTATGAGTGGTTATTTACAGTACTGCCATATTAAAAATACTCCAATATAATATAATTATATCCTCTATTTTCTGAAGATGGATGAACACCACCTCCTTCCAAAGTCACAGAATAAATACTTGCCTTGTTTCCCTGAATTGCCTTTTGGATCATGATCTGTTTTCAAGATGAATATTCTATTCTGAGATCACATGTAATTAAATTATTTGTAATGGTCTTTTATGTGGTACCAGTGTATGTGTACATGTATGCATAAAGCAATCATTCATACCATAAATGTATCTATATCTATATAAACACATTCAAAAATTACGATAACAAAATGCATTGTAAACATCTTCATGAAACTTGTAATAATGCATAACTATTTTGGCAAATGTAGGATATTGTAACTTAGCACCACTTGACTCTTTTGAATTATTAACTTGGATGCTAGAAGAAATTCACATTTTTCATCTGATATCCATTATATATAGCAGGTTCAGGATTGAGAGATTTCTATAGTCTTGACAAGAGATAACACCATAGGAAAAGCAAGAGCTATAAAAGCAAAATATCCCCACAGAAGACAACAAAGCACTATATATTCAGGGATTTCATTTTGTTTTACATAAATGCATAGTAAAATATTCAAATACTAGGAAAAAGGTACATACTCTGTGGAAACCGTGGTGGGTTGTCATTGACATCTGTCAAGGTGATGTTGACTGTTGTAGATCCAGAAAGCCCTCCGACTTGTCCAGCCATGTCTTTGGCTTGAATGACCACTGAGTAGTGTTCTCTGGCTTCTCTGTCCATATTATGTAAGGCTGTTCTAATAACTCCTGTAATACATACATTTTAAACAATAATCAGT